TCTGGTCTCACAACACCGCCCTCCTATTACAGATGAATAGATGTCTGTCATCTGTTAATCTTGTTTGGTTATGCATCCATATCCTTTTTCTCTTTGCTAGGCCTTGTCCAAGACCTGCAGTCAGATCCTGTCATTCATTTCTGTTCACCATTCTGTATAGAACAGCATCTCTTGCTTGCATCCATGTCTGCTTTTCCCTAGAGTTGCTTTTCAATATAAATTCCATGGAGTGCAATTCAGAATGTAAATACTTGTCTGCACATTTGGGTATGAAAATGTTCAAGGCTTCAAAATGTTCAGATATCTGAGATAGTATAAGAAGAATGTGGAAGAGTTCTCTGAGTGGGCCAAAGAGCTAGAGGATACCAGAGAGGCAAAATGAAATTCCCTAGGACCAGAAATTAAAAGGAAGAGAGAACTAGGAACCCTCTGCCTCCTTACTGTTAATTGACTTCTTCAGGCTCTTGGAGGTGGAAATACTGCATGCCAATAGAGCACAAGTGAAGGAAATGCATTTTAGGGAAGTCTAGAGCACATGATGTGTGAGAAAAGGCTGAAGTCAACTGGTTTGTTCAACCTCCAGAAAAAAAGGTGAACAGCAGATTGTATTGCTGTCAAACTTCCTAATGGGTTGGGCAGAGAGGAAATAGAAAGGAACTCTTCTTTAAATTAAGTAGGGACAGGAAAAGAAGCAACAACCCCAATTTGCAATACAGGAGATCCCAGTGAAAGACACTGGGAAAGAAAATTTCACAACAAGAGTGGCCAAGCCCAGAGAATTGGAGTCTCCATCTTGGAAGGTGCTAAACCTGGACTGGAAAGGGCTTCGAGCAACCTGAGCAAATCTGTCCTACTCTGAGCAAGAGGTTGGACCAGGTGACTTTGAAAAGTCTCTTCCAACTAAAATAGTGCTGACAATCTATAGCTCTTACTTAGTTGGTCAGTGAGATATTAGGATAGAGTGGGTGCATTACTGTTTGGGTAGGTGAAATCTAGGGGAAGGAGCATGTTTAGAGATAACATTAGTTTATAGAGGTTTCTTAAACTTTATTTGTCTGTGCTGTGATTTTGAGAGGCTCTATAGGCTGTCTCCTTTCTTCTCTTTTAACATGAGAATATCTGTCTTTCCTGTGTCTGCCGTTAACACTATACGTAAGTACATCTGTTTGAGACAGATGCATCAAAATTGAGCCTCAGCGCTCAGGAATTGTTAGATGACTGAACTGAATGTCACTGTTGCACTCTGTGAGCACAGTCAGATACAGGCTTCAAAAAATAGCCTGGAATAGCTTGCTGTATGAAGATCTTGGAGATAGAGTACACATTAGGATATTTTATGTATTGTAATTATGTTCTCATACTCAGAAATAAGAGAAAGAGCAAGCATAACTTTCTCTTAATAAAAGGTTAAGAAGAACATGGGAGAGTGGACAACTACACACTGCTTTCTGCAAACACACAACGTGCTGCGATGTGTAACATTTCTAAAAATGGGAGAAATGCTGAAATGTTCAGATTGACATTTCAGCGCCTGTCTAAATTCAGTGTCTGTCTGAAATATAGGGTTCAATAATCCTATTATGTGTGTCTGACACACTCCTCCTTCTTTAGCAATGTGCCTCCCATAGCTGCTATAATAAGACGGAACAACCAAAGCCTAATATTGTGTGCCTCATCCTATCATTCAGCAAAGCTATGTCGTCATCAGATGCAATCTATTGTTTTCATTCCTGCTGTGTGGTATTGATTTTTCTAACCTTTCCTAATGTTAAATTTGTTTGGCTTTTTAACTTTCTTACGAAAGGTTAATGTTATTAAGTTGAGCAGGTATCTATAAAACTACAAGCATTATTGCCTATCTTGCCATTGTTATACTGTTCTTTCATTAAACTCTGGCTGCAGTGGATAGCTCTGTCTTGAAGATTTTTGTCATTCCAGAATAATACAGTGAAGGTTGAAAAGAACTGCATTACGATTGTCATCCAACTTCGTGGCATAAAATATTGGATTTGATATATCAGGAGCAACAGATTTATCTGAAGCTCTTATACCACGAGTGAACATGAACTGCATAGACATTAATTCCAACAAGGCTGTGATGAGGGCACAGGATGATGCTGCTTGTCCCTACCTCCAGTTCGGTCTGACCATACCAATCTCTTTGGCATTGTGACAAAAAGAGCAATTCTAAAATCTCTGCCTATTCCAGAACTGGTTATCTGTTTGATGAGGAAAGACAATGAGAAATTACAGTTTAATTGGAAGGAAGTTGTGGATTTAATGGTAACACTCTATCAACATTTTTTGATATGATGATCTACAACAGTACTGGTATAAAAGCATCCAGGCAGTGAATAAGCAGTTTCAGGATACCCCTCTTAAGCCACAGTACCTTCTTGGTATCAATATCATGGGTATAGTAACCTGCCTTTAATGAATTGTGCATTTGACATCCCATTCACATATTTAAACTGGGCTTCTGTGATGGGTATTTGAGGCCTTTTATTGTGACTATGCAGAAAACACAGTAGCAGGTCTGAACACATGTCTTCTTGTGTGGTACATCACAAGCTTTCTTCTGGACTGTGGAAAATGACCTTCAGTGCTCTCCAACCACCATGCTAATGTTATCTTGCCTTGGTAGTACCTTGTAGTTGCTTTAGAATATTTTTCTTATCAAAGAACATACTGAGAAGCTGGGCAAGAACTGAACTCAAGTGAAATGTTCTTAATAGGAACATAAAATAATAAATAATAAAATAATTTAAGCTGGTTTAGATCATCACTTTAAAAAAAAATAACAAAGACAGAACTTGACACTTGGGTCTTCTGTGGGTGGAAAGCAGAATTGCATCATACCTGCAGTTGCCAAAACCTGCCTGTTCAAGGAGATCAGGCTTGTTAGTGACTGCAGTAGTATTTCAAAGTACTGAGAGAGAGTGGTGGTTAAATCTTTTATTTATAAATTGGTACCTATTAAACGCTTACTTCTGCCAATGCTGTGAAGCCAGGGAATGGCCCTGGCAAAAGACAAAAAGCCTTCCTTCTCTACTGCCAGTTTAAGAGCTGGTAACTGAGGTTGTGTTTCTTCTCCCATGCTCAGCAGTAGCTGTCCCTGCCACTGATTTACTCTCTATCTGTCACATTCTCATGCTGTTCAGCAGCTGTCTGAGAAAGACTGAGGAGGTTCTGTCTCTTCAAAGATCTCACAGCTTGGTCTCTCTTCCTTCTATCAGTGCTAATATTGAGACTGTCTGAGAGCACCCCATCCTTAGTGAATGAAACATCTTTTCATTTAGAGTGGCTTTGCTTAACAAATTGCCTTCAGTGGTTTTCAGATCCAACTGTGAGCTTTCTGGGTCGGCCTGAACACCCGTATACCTTTCCTGGGCTCTCTTGGTGTCTCTGGCTGGTGTTGCCAAACTCACATGTTCATTATAGCCTCCAGATGGCTTGTGTCCCTTCTTCTCCTGCCAGTTTTACCTTTTGCCTTCCCTAGTGAAGAGTGGAGATGTGACAGCTCTTCACATTGTTTCATGCTTAGCACTGAGTCCACGATCCGACTACATTTTCCCTAACCCTTTTGTGGGGGCAGCAGCGTCACTTCTGCAGTGGAGGTCTCTGATTACATGTGCTCTTGCAGCAATATGATTCTTCATCCAGGCAAGCCTGAAAAGATATTTAGGGCAATATCAGGTATCAGAAAGGCTATTACTTTTGACCATATTTCCTTTCAGAAGTTTTTGAAGAGGGAGGAGAAGAGGTATAATAAAAAACCATGTCATTATCTTCTCCTCCCTTACCTCATCTACTTCATCCAAATGCAGCCCCTTCTGCATTATGGCTTTATTTGTTTTTATATGCATTCTGACTGTGTGGGGAAGCATCTCAGTGATAGCGTATGTCTTCCTATTGGAGGCTCGTGACATTGTTGCATGAAATTCACTAAACCCCAAGGATCCACTAATCTGGGAAGTTTTGTCATCTGTACCTTTATTTTCACCACTAATGTAAAGGTAGCTTCAACAATTTGGTGTTGGTTGTTGGTTGTTTTGTTTGTTTGTTTGGGGGGTGGTTTGGTTTTTTTCATTTTGTTTTTGGTTTATGGGGTTTGTTTGGATTCGGTTGGGTTTTTTTGATGTAACAAAATAATACACTTTATAAGCACAGGCACATGTACAAAGGTTATATAGTCTGAATGCTTTTCTCCTATCAGTTCTTATTGTGTATAGCAGAAACTTAAAATATGTCAGGTAAGACAAAGCTAAGAGGCTTTTAAGGGAACCTTGTAGTGGTAGGAAAGGGAACCTCTAAATGCAGCGTGTATGGTTTTTATTTTAATTTACAATGCTTTACTTGGTATTTTGCATCCTTTTAACCTCTTTGAATAGTGACTTTATGTGGTAGATGCACTCCTTACTCAGCTTTTTATCAGAGACTTAGGAATTGCTTTAGTTCTCAATTAAGAAATCTGAACTCCTGCTCTCCCCTTACTTTAACATGCTCTCATCCATAATACCCCACTGCCAGGAAATAATTTTTGGATCACTGCAAATTAACTACTAGAACTGCACTGGGTCTGGAAGCTTGAACACTTTTGCGTGCTTACTTTTATACACATTTGAATATAGGTAGCAGCACCAGAGATAACAGTCATTTTCATGGAAGTTACTGATCACCCAGGACTTGCTACCCCAGAACTTGCTCATCCAGCAAAGCATCATAAAACATGTTTGTCCAAAGGCACAAATGTACTCAATTGGTTTTGAATATCTACTCCTGTACCCATCAAACTGCTGTTTCATAGTAATTTGTTAAGCTGGGACCTACAGTCTTTGGGCTCTGTAAGGCTAATAGTCTTTTACTTAATTCTACATCTCCATGCAGAGACTCTGAGTTATTGACTGCAGTTAATGTCACCAAAGACATCATTAGTTCTCAAAATTGAAAAATGATTGACTTTTTTTTCCTCTCTCTATTTTTACGGCTTTCTTCACTAGGGATGTGAGTTAATTGAGACCATGGATCAGGACCTCACAGATTTCACCAAGTGCCTTCAGATACTCCAGAAAAAGATAGAGAAGAAGGGACTCCAGGTAAAGACAACAAATCTTTTGTCTCTGGTTCTTAGTAATGACTCTTTCTCTCAACGTATTTAGGTTTGTCTTAAAAGTTTGCACTGAAATGTAACTAGTTTCTGTACCCTTGCCATTCTGCAGTTTTGCCATAATTTACTGCACACCTTGTAAGCATTGATGCTTCTGCTAAAAGGATTTACAAAGTATATCAATGAACAAGTGTTGGCTTTCTTAAAAGGCAGCTTGTATTGATTTCTGTTAATGAACTACTCAAAGTACAGAAGAGTTGTTGTGGTTGGTGTTCAAAGAAGGAGTCTCACTTTGGCATGTAAATACGTTTTCAAGACTTGGCACGCTAAGCATTGGTGTTCATTTCCTTTCTCTCCCCATCCAAAGGTGAGATGGAGAGAGGGAATCTTATCCTGCCCGTATTACATATGGTAAGCAATACCTCCTTCTGCAAACAGTTCCCCTGGAATCAAAGGGAACCTTTGTGGAGCAAACAGTGCACTAAACTTAAAAGGAGCCATATGGAGTTGTCAGCAGCTCATTTCACTTGAAAGGCAAGGAAGGCAACGTTCCAGCTCCCCTTCCACAGTTTAGTTTTGGAGGCCCTCTTGTTTTGTCTCTCTGGGATGAAAAGTTAAAATTTCTTAGGAATTTCAAATGTGGTGGGTCACTGGCAGATGTGCTCTTGGAATTGCTGTCCTTTTGTCCCAATGGAACAGTCATTCATAAGGGGTGACCTCTCTCTTCTGCTCTTCACCTGTGGGTGAAGAGAGGAAACAGCTGCTGCATCCTCTTACCTAAAGTGAGGGCAAGAGACATGTAAGAAAATTGAAACAGCACAACATGGAAGGGTATGTGTAAACCTCCTTTTTTCCCATTTTCATTGTAGCAGGATAAGAAAGTTGTCTGATTTTCTGAGATCACCGTACTCCAACAAAGCAGCAAGGGATGGAAATGCTGATACACCTCTGTCTTTCTTCTTTCTTCACTCCAGGCTGATAAAAAATTAGCCAGTTTTTGCTTAAACTATTTTGAAATGTCATGTTCTTCTAAAGGAAATAACTTCCATGGGACATTTTGGAGTGCTGTTGCACAATGCCCGTCTGCAGATGCATCTCAATGCATACTGTTGTTCATCAGAGTTATTTTCCCCATCGGTATAGACAGAGATGGCAGGGTTTCACCATGTACTTCTCTTATCTGTTTGGCTGTGAGCCAGGAAACTCTTTATATGATAGTTTATTTTCTTTTCCCCTATAATTTATCATCACAAGGGTTCAGAGGTGTGTCTTCCCATCCAGAATGGGAATGATAATAAGTGCCATTGGAACAGATGAGCACCCATGCCTAGGATTTTTTTGAATTTGGCAAGTAAGGTGATTTCTTCTTAACAGAAATACCCTTAGAATAAAGGAGAACTTGAGTGTTTCCTGGATTTTGTTCATTATCAAATCCCAGCTATTATTTTAGAGGGAATTTTTTTAAGCTATCACAACATGTTTTATAATTAATAATCAATGTGTGATTAAAATAAGAGCAATGGGAACATGACAGCTACAGATGTGTTTCAACAAGAAGTAGTCTGTTTGTAAAAGTTTGAGTTCTTTGACCACTCTCATGGTAAAGCCATGTTGAGTTGCCTAAAGGATACTGCATTGTAATGCGGGATGATATTTTCCAGAGGAGAAGCCAGAGTGTCATTGCAGTAATGCACCAAACCTGAGATTTCCATTCAGTTATGTTTTCATGCTGTTACATGTAAGAGATGTGCTTTAAATACAATGAGTTTTTCAGAGGCGTAAAAAGTAGCACAGATAATTTTCTAAAACTAAGTACCATGTTCATTAAATCCTGGCTGCTTCTTGTTTACAGTGTCTGTTCCAACAAACATAATAAGATGCTATCAGCTGATTAATGCATACTAGCTAAAGCATTGAGGATTTCTATTTTTGGTCTTCTGTATTCTCTGATATAAGGTCATTGACTCAGGCAGATAATATGTGAAACTTAAACAAATGGAAGACAAAACTGTATCACAGCTGTATAAATTACAAGTTTGGTTTCCAATTTACTCTTTGTTCATAAGCATTGGATATAATTTGTTAGTAGGTGATCAGTGGTTCTTCAGAATGTCCTTGTAGTGCAATACGTAGCTTGACGTCTGGTTTCCCAATAACACAGAGATTCTGAGCACTTGCAAAATACACTGTCCTCAGTTTATGGATGCAACCTCTTGACTCCTCTGAAACTCTAGCCACTTTATATACTTAAATTTGCACTTAATTTAGGGGCTTTTTAATGGTAACATTCTGCCATAAAAAATGTCAAGTGGTAAGAAAACAGCTGTCACTGAATTCTGTGTTCACCTGGGAATCACATACAGCTCATAAGAAAAGAAAGTCCAGGGTCTGAAAAGAAGAACTGGATAAATAAGAGGTTCTTCATCTGCATGTAGTTTTTTTAATCTCAAGTACAAAATTGCATGTCACAAAGTGGAATTTTTTTCCTCCTGGGAAAAATATAATAAAAGCTTTCCTTTTAACTGAGAGCATTAACTAGGTGGAATATGTCTTAGTGGTTCCAGGAAAAATATGTATGACTCTGGTTTTTATTTTTTCCACTCTGTCTAGCTTATCCAAAGTACTTGTCAAAGAGACACTACAAATCTGTTTTCTCATAATTTATAGTTGAAGTAGCTAAACAAGGAAAGTATCTCTTTAGAATCTTTAAAAAAAATTTATATCAGTCATGCTGTGTTTACTACTCTTTCTGGGTAGCAATATGTTAAGCTGGGAACTAAATTACATTCAGAGTATACCATGGATCCACAATCCTGACATAGTTTGTCTGGGTGAAATTCAACTGTGAGTAGCTGAAGTATTTGAAATTAATGTTCCTTCACTGTTTGGAAAATAAGTTATCACTGATCTGCTATACTGAATGGATAAAATTTCTACTCTTATTTATCAGTCACCTCTACTGAAGTTCTATGTCAAGGAGGTTTTTGAGCTCACATGAACATATGGGGGCAATATCTTGTTTCAAAGGAATTAAGTTTGTTTAATTTCCTTTCCATGTCTCTGCATCTCCATCACCCACCTCCTCTTCCTTCCTGATCATCCCAATAGCTTTTGAACAAATAACTTTTGAACAGAGGAATAGAGTACTGAAAGATAATCATGTCAAACAGCTTTCTTGGATGTCACCTGAGGGGACTGGAGATGAGATAGATACTCGGTATCTATCTGGAGAGAAGGCTGCAAAAAAGCTGGTTTGGATTTTAAAGGTGTTTAGAGAGCTCCATTTGAGAAGAGGCCTTAGAAATGTCTTTACAACAAGGAAATAGGCATTTAGAGTTGATGGTTAACTGAGACACAAATTTTGGAGAAAAAACATATTAGTTCCTGAACTCCTTGTTTGATATAAACAGCAGTAATTCTGTCTTCTAGAACAATTAGCCAAATTTGTGACTGCTTTTTCTTTATTTCTTAAATAAACACTCTTAGACTAGTTTCAATCCTCAGAGTTGTTCATTTCTGGTTTACACTGCATAGTTTGGTTGTGTAGCCAAGTCATGCAGAAAGCAGCATTTAGGTCATTTTGTGAAATCTACGTCACCTAATTATATGTATTTATAATTGCATACTGCGGTGAATTTTAGAACAAAATTGTGCAAGCTAGAATCAGTCTTAATCTTCCCTCTCTGCAGCCCTAATTCATTTGTGAATTGCATTCTACTGGATGGGTGAAGCAATGAAGTACCACCAAGAGAATCTGACTCCTGAAGTTTCTTTCCAACCTAAAGGCTGTTAGATATTTCTCTTTCTCTTTCTGCATGACTGTGAGTATGCATGCACACGCATGTATGTGCAAGTACGTATATAAACGCACACATTTTCTGGAAGTGCACCATTCTGCCCTAAGTGGTGCTTTTTTAATGCCTTAATAACTCTGTCTTTATTGCTGCTGTGTGTTTCTTTCACGTTGTTTATGGTCTATTAGGTGTGCACATTTTGCTTTACTGCTTTAATCACTATTTAATTCATTCTGTAGTTATGTGAGTACTTTCCTTTCTTCATTACAAGGCCTTCAAATAAACTTATTTCTGTCTGGTACTTCTTCCTGTTCTTAATTTTCCCTCATCTTAACTCAAGCTATTTCAAGAAACCAACTGAACTGGCAAAATGATAGGCAAGCCTACAATATCTCTTATTTAGGGATCTGCAGATCTTGCATTAGAAGTGTACACTATTATCTTCCATTTGCAGATCAGAAGTACAGAAGCAACTTGTGCACAGTCTGCCACCATGCCAGTGGTACAGTTGGGGATGATACTCCAATTCCCAGTCTTCATCAAATGCTCTTTCCTAAACAACATCTCACAAGCAGCTCGTAGCAGCTCAAACCAGTGAGACCTGGAAGTGTGTTTGTCAATTTTGCAGCTCCGAGAAGAATCCTCATAATATAAAGATAGATTTTAACCATTATCTTTATCTCAGAGTTACAAACTCTACTTTCTTTAACTGTTTCATCTAAAACACCATTTAGTCTTAAAACTAAGGTCTGGGACTTTTCATTTAGCTTTATTATCTTTTCTGCTTAAAAAAAGTTAGAGTAGCTCATTTAGTTATATGGGCTGAAGATATAAAAAATGAATTTTATTGAAACCTACATGCCTTTTAGTGGTTTAATGTAAATGTGCTTAAATTGATAAAAGTACCAGTGTCAATATGAAAAAGGGAAAATATCCAAACCAACTCTTCCTAAAAACCCTTGGCAATAAAGGCATGCTATAATAACATTTCCATTTTCAAATTACACTTTAAAGGTTCAATCAGTCAGCAGTCTAGGATATTAATTCTTTTAAGTGAATGCAAACGTTCTTCTCTTTGTGTTTTAAAAGAAAGTGTCATGTCAGTCCCCTTTCTTTTCTATTGAGGGAGGCTAAACATAATGTTAGCGCAGTCCTCTGATTATGAAGTGCTGAAGAAAAGACAATGAAGTGATGT